CGCCGGCGTTGCTAGTTGTTGCTGTGGCAGGGAGCCGGGATCTTGCGGCACCTCTGAACCTGCTCCTGTCTGTCACTCCGTGGCTGAGCCGCCCTGGCAGGCTTCCTGCACTTGCTGCTCTGTTGTGTGCTGTCTTGTCCCAAGGAGTGCTAACGTGTGGGCTGCCTGTAGGCAGGCCTGCGGTGCCGGGCACAGAGCAGGGAGCAGACATTTGGACAGACGTGGCAGGCAGGCCCCTCGTGCTGTTCGTGGCTTTGTGTCCTGCGGCCGGGGTAGAGGGAAGGGCCTGTTCTGGAACTGAAAGATACAAGCCACTTGCCTTGGCTTTGCAGTCCAGGCTGAGATCTGATGGTGGCGTGATGGCAAAGCGCCCCACGCTGGGTGCCCAGGAGGCATATCCCGCCACCGGCCCCGCCGCGCCGGAGACGGGCCGTGGGCAGTGGGAGGGAGGGCCGTGGGCCGTGGGAGGGATGGCTGTGGGCCATGGGAGGGAGGGCCGTGGGAGGGAGAGCCGTGGGAGGGAGGGCCGAAGGCCGTGGGAGAGAGGGCCGTGAGCCCTGGGAGGGAGGGCCGTGGGAGGGAGGGCCGTGGGCCATGGGAGGGAGGACCGAGGACCGTGGGAGGGAGGGTCGTGGGAGGGAGGGCCATGGGCCGTGGGAGGGAGGGCCGTGGGAGGGCCGTGGGCCATGGGAGGGAGGGCCATGAGCCGTGGGAGGGAGGGCCGTGGGCCATGGGAGGGAGGGCCATGGGAGGGAGGGCCGAGGGCCGTGGGAGGGAGGGCCATGGGCCGTGGGAGGGAGGGCCGTGGGCCATGGGAGGGAGGGCCATGGGAGGGAGGGCCGAGGGCCGTGGGAGGGAGGGCCATGGGCCGTGGGAGGGAGGGCCGTGGGAGGGAGGGCCGTGGGAGGGAGGACCGTGGGAGGGAGGGCCGTGGGCCCTGGGAGGGAAGGCCGTGGGAGGGAGGGCCGTGGGAGGGAGGGCCGAGGGCCGTGGGAGGGAGGGCCGAGGGAGGGAGGGCCGAGGGCCGTGGGAGGGAGGGCCGTGGGAGGGAGGGCCGAGGGCCGTGGGAGGGAGGGCCGAGGGCCGTGGGAGGGAGGGCCGAGGGAGGGAGGGCCAAGGGAGGGAGGGCCGAGGGAGGGAGGGCCAAGGGAGGGAGGGCCGAGGGCCGTGGGAGGGAGGGCCGTAGGAGGGAGGGCCGAGGGCCGTGGGAGGGAGGGCCGAGGGCCGTGGGAGGGAGGGCCGTGGGAGGGAGGGCTGTGGGAGGGAGGGCCGAGGGCCGTGGGAGGGCCGTGGGAGGGAGGACCGAGGGCCGTGGGAGGGAGGGCCGAGGGAGGGAGGGCCGTGGGAGGGAGGGCGTGTGCCCTGCCGTCTGTTCCAGGAGGCCACAGGCTCTTTGACACACATGGCTTGGAAGGATGAGGCTCAGCTCCTCTGGGCGTGGTGTTTGCCGAGGCCGGTGAGGAGCAGTGTAAGCCGGAAATGCCCCGTGTCCTCCGCAGAGCCCGCGTCCCGGCTCCCACACCGGTACTCAGTGACCCTGCAGTGCCCCGTGGTACTGCGCACAGTGACATGACAGACACGGGAGGCCCCGTCCCAATCCATGGAGGAGAGGCCGCCCCCTGTCAGCCAGGGGGGAGGCCTTCTCTCAGAGTTCCTTGGTTCCTTGACCTGGGAAGGTCCAGCATTTAAGCTTCCAGTCTACACTTTGTCTAAGGAAAACTCTCTTCTGTTTATTTGTTTACTTTTGCTTTTGTGCCGGTTCTAGGGGTTGAACTCAGGACCTGAGCACTATACTTGAGCTATTTTTGCTCAAGGCTAGCACTGTGCCATTTGAGCTTTTTTTGGTGTTTAATTGGAGATAAGGGTCAGTCTCTTGGCTTTCCGGCTGTTGCAGGCTTTGCGCGGTGATCCTCGGATCTCAGCCTCCTGATTAGCTAAGATGATAGGAGCCTCGAGTGCCCAGTGGCTTTTTTTTTTCTAATAAAGGTTTTATGTGTTCTCCTTCTCCCTGTTAAATCCTTCGTTTCCATAAGGGCTTCCTGGGTCCGTGCCAGGCCCCGCCCCTCCATGCTGGGCTCTGCTGGGACTAAGGAAGGCTCCTTCTTCCTCGGTGCATCCCTGGACCCAGACACCTTCTAGAGAAACCCCATTCCCAGGACAACTCCACGGAAGAGCAGCCAGGCTGCCTCCTCTCCTCCTGCCTGCCCTTCGCCACCCTCCTGCTGTCACAGCACGGGCTTCCTGCCAAAGCAGCTGGAGCTGGGCCTGGTCACCGCAGAGGCACGGGGCAGGGCCCGGGCCTCCACGCTGGCCCAGATGTGGGTCGCTCATCGCCAGGAGCTTCACACCCACAGGGCTCGGCCGTGGGCTGGTGGGCTGCTGATGGAATGGGCGACCTGTGGCAGGGGTGAGGCTGAGCTCCCACCTGGAGCAGGGGTGGCGGGTATTTCTGTAGCTTGCCCTGGGTTGAAGGATGTTCCAACGGTAGTGAACTTGTTCGCTGAGCTCTAGTGACTCAGAATCCCACCCTGCCACTGTGGGCTCCCCTCCATTGTCAGCATGCAGCTACTGAGCTCCGGTGGAGACCTAGCTGAGGGCCCCACTCTCCCGTTCCGCCGTCCGTCTGCCTCGAGTCTGGTTTCAGAAGTGCAGGGTCAGCCACTAGCAAAACCTCTGCTCACCCACCACGCTGTCTGTCATCTGCAGGGGACCACACAGCAGTGCGTCGGTGACTGGAAGGAACTTCTTTTGCACAGATGTATCTTTAGATAACTTGGCAATGCTGGCAGAGGAGCGGCGGGCAGCACGGGCAGCCGTGCTGGGGCTAGGTCTAGGCCGACTGCTGGCTGCCTCACAGGGAAGCCAGGCCACTGGCTGCCCACGGCCGGGTGTGCTCCAGCCTGGCTGGCGCCCAGAACCTCCGGGTCCCTGTGGGCCAGAGTCCTCGCCGCGTGGCACAAAGCCCATGCCTCCAATTGGGCCTTCCCAGAGGCCACCCCGGGGCCATCTCTGTCGTCAGGGCTGGGGCACGGGCCACCGTGGGATTTGATGATCATAGCAGCGGCCTGGGCTCAGGTAGTCAGCAGGGGCCACCAGAGTGGACTCCAAGCCAGGCTCAGGGGCCACGCTGCCCCCCACTGCCCGGCTGTTCCCGCTGCTCCGCCTTGGAATCTCCACCTTCTACTCTTGGGAGTGGCTTTCTGGGTGACTCTCCAAGGTTGTCCTCTAATCTTCAACATCAGAGCCCAGCTTCATCTCTTCACCAGGGACTGGGTGTTTGGACAAGACACGGGGCTCGTGGTAAGGACTGTGGGGGTCCTCTGATGTTCCTCTCTTTGCGTGTCCAGCTCATGTCTCAGCGGCTCACAGCAGGCCCCATCCCACATCTGGGAATTTTGAACTGACAGAAGAAGTTCGTGATAGTGGAGGTGATGGAAGGCTGGCGGGCACGCAGAATCCACCTCGGGACTCAGCAGGCATGGTGTCTGGCCGCAGCTGGCCCGTTCCAGTTAGACAACACTGGGTGTGAGGTCCTCACTTTCTGGAACTCACCCTCATTGCTTCCTCAACCAGGACACAGCGGGCTGCCCTGAATAAAACACCTTCCAGCCAGAGCACCTAAGCCAGGAGATGGATCTAGAATTTCCACGTTCTGGTTTTCATTATTTAGAGACCTGGAAACTCTCATCTCTAGGCTCATTATAAGAGGCTCCAGGAGGCTGGAGGAAGGCTTTCAAACCAGAAATCCAGAAGAATGGTGCTCCTGATCAGATTGCTAATTATAATAGTAGTGATTTCTGAAGGATAGTTATTGAAGTACCATGAGAACATAGTAATCCTTACATCTAGCCAGGTATCGGATCGTGTTTGGTTTTGTTTAGAAGACACACTTCTGGGTGTGAGCCAGCCTCGGGGTCATGAGGACCACAGGACCCGCGTGGTTTTTCCCTTTGCTGCCGTTGTTTGTTTTATCCTTGAGGTGTTTTCTTTGCGTTGGTAGTGAGCGCTCCCTCTTAAAATGGATTAAATGCCGAGTCACTATGTCTGGAACACCGCTCCCTCTGTCCACACGCCTCCCAGTCCTTTCTCCAACACCCACCACACACCCACCATCCATCCACCCATCCACCCTCATCCACTTGTCCCTTCATCTGTCTGCCCATCCACCCACCATCTGCCCACGAAACAGAATGAACGTTTGCTTGCTTTGTGGAGAGAGGGGCTTCCTGCATAGCCCAGGTGGCCTTTGGCCTGTGGTCTTTCAGCCCACCGGGTGACGCCAGGAGAGATGTGTTCCCTCCACCCCCAATTAAACGCTTTACCTGTGCCAGGCATACTGTGAGGCTCTGAAGACAGCTGTGAACCAGAGTAAGGCAGGAAAAATTCCTAATTGCTTGGAACTTGGTTTCTGTTGGCCAAAGAGATAAATGAATGAACACACAATATTAGATTGATCTTGCTTGCTTGCTTGCTGGCTTTATTGTTGTTGTTGGCCACAGGGCTGGAACATAGAGCCCTGGTGCCATCCCTGAGCTCTTTAGCTCAAGACTAGGGCTCTACCGCTTAGAGCCACAGCTCTACTTCTGGTTTTCTTGAGGTTAAGTAGAGATAAGAATCACAGACTCTCCTGCCCAGGCTGGCTCTGAGCCGCGATCCTCAGATCTCAGCCTCCTGAGTGGCTAGGATGACAGGCGTGAGCCTCCAGTGTCTGGCGTGGCATTTCTTAAAAGAGAAAAAAATACATAGTTGATGACCCAGGTGTTGGGTTGGGCTCGGAAGTCCAGATTGTCGAGTGAAAAGCAGAAGACAGTAGTCGCCGGTCAGACCTCTCAAGAGGGCGTCCAGGGACCCGGCAGCTGAGGCGGGCGGGCGGCTTTGGAGCAGACTGGACGCAGGGGTGAGGCCAGGGGGGTGGGTCTGGGGCTGTGGGGTACGGTGGGTGCCAGGTCTGGTGTCCACTGAACTCCGGGGTTTACCATCTCTTCTCTTTCCCCTTCCAGAGCACTACAGCTATGCCCCGCCCTCCGTCAGCTCCACGCTGCCTCTGCCCGGGCCCTGCCATGACCTCCAGCCCCCCGCCCCTGGTGTGCCAGCTCTTCCTCCCGCTGGCCACCCCTTGGGGTATGGGGGTGCCGTGGACGGCGGGCCTTCGGGGTATTTTCTGTCTTCTGGCAACAACCGGCCCAACGGCGCTCTGGCCCTGGAGAGCCCCCGCATCGAGATCACGTCGTACCTGGGCCTGCACCACGCGGGCGGCCCGTTCCTCCACGATGCGGACGTGGAGGACCTGCTTCCCAGCTGCCGGCGCTCGCCGTCCACCGCCACGCTGCCCCTGCCCGGCCTGGAGGCCTACCGAGACCCGTCCTGCCTGAGCCCGGCCAGCAGCCTCTCCTCGCGAAGCTGCAACTCCGAGGCCTCCTCCTACGAGTCCGGCCACTCCTACCCCTACGCCTCGCCCCAGACGTCCCCCTGGCAGTCCCCCTGCGTGTCCCCGAAGACCACAGACCCGGAGGAGGCCTTTCCCCGGGGCCTGGGCGCCTGCCACCTGCTGGGCTCTCCTCGCCATTCTCCATCCACCTCGCCCCGGGCGAGCGTCACAGAGGAGAGCTGGCTGGGGGCCCGGGGCTCGAGGCCCACGTCCCCCTGCAACAAGCGCAAGTACTGGCTGAACGGCAGCCAGGCCCCCTGCTCGCCCCGCCAGTCCCCGGCGCCCTCGCCGCTCGGCTCCCCCCGCGCCAGCGTGACGGAGGACACCTGGCTCAGCAACACCACCCAGTACACCAGCTCCGCCATCGTGGCGGCCATCAACGCCCTCACCACCGACAGCAGCCTGGACCTGGGCGACGGGGTCCCCACCAAGGCCCGCAAGACGGCCCCGGAGCCCGCGCCTCCCGTGGCGCTCAAGGTGGAGCCCGCGGGGGCCGAGCCGGGCGCCGCCTCGCCCGCCTGCGACTTCCCGCCCGAGGACCTCGCCTTCCAGCACCTGAGGAAGGGCGGCTTCTGCGAGCAGTACCTGTCCGTGCCGCAGGCCCCGTACCAGTGGGCGAAGCCCAAGTCGCTGGCCCCCGTGTCCTACATGAGGTAAGCAGGAGTGGGCAGGCTGGTCTCACCCCAGGACCCCGTCCCAAAGGCTGCCCCAACACCACCCCTGAATGCCATCAGCAGCGGCACAGCCCCGCCTCCTTCCTGCAGGCCACGCTCCCGGCTGCCACGTGTGCATTCCGGGAGCAGCCCACCTCCTTCCTGCAGGCCACGCTCCCGGCTGCCACGTGTGCATTCCGGGAGCAGTCCACCTCCTTCCTGCAGGCCACGCTCCCGGCTGCCACGTGTGCATTCCGGGAGCAGTCCCGCCTCCTTCCTGCAGGCCACGCTCCCGGCTGCCACGTGTGCATTCCGGGAGCAGTCCCGCCTCCTTCCTGCAGGCCATGCTCCCGGCTGCCACGTGTGCATTCCAGGAGCAGTCCACCTCCTTCCTGCAGGCCACGCTCCCGGCTGCCACGTGTGCATTCCGGGAGCAGTCCACCTCCTCGGGGCTGGCCACGCTCCCGGCTGCCACATGTGCATTCTGGGAGCAGTCCACCTCCTCGGGGCTGGCCACGCTCCCGGCTGCCACGTGTGCATTCCGGGAGCAGCACACCTCCTTCCTGCAGGCCACGCTCCCGGCTGCCACGTGTGCATTCTGGGAGCAGTCCCACCTCCTCGGGGCTGGCCACGGGTGTGCACATGGCCATGTTCTCGGTAAAACTCACGTCCAGGGCTGCCACGCCCACAGGGGCTTTGCTGACTGCACACGCCCACACCCCCAGAGCAGCGAGCATGCCTGCCCCCTCCTCCCAGGAGAGAGGCCTGTGCACGCCGGCAGTCAGGGAGCTTGTGTGCACACTGACAGGGAGCTTGTGTGTGCACTGACAGGGAGCATGTGTGTATATGCTGACAGGGAGCTCGTGTGCACACTGACAGGGAGCTTGTGTGTATATGCTGACAGGGAGCTCGTGTGCACACTGACAGGGAGCTTGTGTGCATATGCTGACAGGGAGCTCGTGTGTGTACGCTGACAGGGAGCTTGTGTGTATATGCTGACAGGGAGCTTGTGTGCATATGCTGACAGGGAGCTTGTGTGTATATGCTGACAGGGAGCTCGTGTGTATATGCTGACAGGGAGCTCGTGTGCATATGCTGACAGGGAGCTCGTGTGCATATGCTGACAGGGAGCTCGTGTGTATATGCTGACAGGGAGCTCGTGTGTATATGCTGACAGGGAGCTCGTGTGTATATGCTGACAGGGAGCTCGTGTGTGTACACTGACAGGGAGCTCGTGTGTATATGCTGACAGGGAGCTCGTGTGTATATGCTGACAGGGAGCTCGTGTGTATATGCTGACAGGGAGGTCGTGTGTATATGCAGACAGGGAGCTCGTGTGTATATGCTGACAGGGAGCTCGTGTGTATATGCCGACAGGGAGCTCGTGTGTATATGCTGACAGGGAGGTCATGTGTATATGCTGACAGGGAGCTCGTGTGTGCACACTGGCAGTCAGGGAGCTCGTGTGTGCACACCGGCAGTCAGCGAGCTCATGTGTGCACACCGGCAGTCAGGGAGGTCGTGTGTGCACACTGGCAGTCAGGGAGGTCGTGTGTGCACACCGGCAGTCAGGGAGGTCGTGTGTGCACACCGGCAGTCAGGGAGGTCGTGTGTGCACACCGGCAGTCAGGGAGGTTGTGTGTGCACACCGGCAGTCAGGGAAGTCGTGTGTGCACACCGGCAGTCAGGGAGGTCGTGTGTGCACACCGGCAGTCAGGGAAGTCGTGTGTGCACACCGGCAGTCAGGGAGGTCGTGTGTGCACACCGGCAGTCAGGGAGGTTGTGTGTGCACACCGGCAGTCAGGGAAGTCGTGTGTGCACACCGGCAGTCAGGGAGGTCGTGTGTGCACACCGGCAGTCAGGGAGGTCGTGTGTGCACACCGGCAGTCAGGGAGGTCGTGTGTGCACGCCGGCAGTCAGGGAGGTCGTGTGTGCACGCCGGCAGTCAGGGAGGTCGTGTGTGCACGCCGGCAGTCAGGGAGGTCGTGTGTGCACACCGGCAGTAAGGGAGGTCGTGTGTGCACACCGGCTGTCAGGGAGGTCGTGTGTGCACACTGGCAATCAGGGAGGTCGGGTGTGCACACTGGCAGTCAGGGAGGTCGTGTGTGCACGCCGGCAGTCAGGGAGGTCGTGTGTGCACACTGGCAGTCAGGGAGGTCGGGTGTGCACACTGGCAGTCAGCGAGCTCATGTGTGCACACCGGCAGTCAGGGAGGTCGTGTGTGCACACCGGCAGTCAGGGAGGTCGTGTGTGCACACCGGCAGTCAGGGAGGTCGTGTGTGCACGCCGGCAGTCAGGGAAGTCGTGTGTGCACACCGGCTGTCAGGGAGGTCGTGTGTGCACACCGGCTGTCAGGGAGGTCGTGTGTGCACACTGGCAGTCAGGGAGGTAGGGTGTGCACACTGGCAGTCAGGGAGGTCGTGTGTGCACACTGGCAGTCAGGGAGGTTGGGTGTGCACACTGGCAGTCAGGGAGGTCGTGTGTGCACACTGGCAGTCAGGGAGCTCGTGTGTGCACACTGGCAGTCAGGGAGGTCGTGTGTGCACGCTGGCAGTCAGGGAGGTCGTGTGTGCACGCTGGCAGTTAGGGAGGTCGTGTGTGCACACTGGCAGTCAGGGAGCTTGTGTGTGCACACTGGCAGTCAGGGAGCTCGTGTGTGCACACTGGCAGTCAGGGAGGTCGTGTGTGCACGCCGGCAGTCAGGGAGCTCGTGTGTGCACACTGGCAGTCAGGGAAGTCGTGTGTGCACACCGGCTGTCAGGGAGGTCGTGTGTGCACACCGGCTGTCAGGGAGGTCGTGTGTGCACACTGGCAGTCAGTCAGGGAGGTCGTGTGTGCACACCGGCTGTCAGGGAGGTCGTGTGTGCACACTGGCAGTCAGGGAGGTTGGGTGTGCACACTGGCAGTCAGGGAGGTCGTGTGTGCACACTGGCAGTCAGGGAGCTCGTGTGTGCACACTGGCAGTCAGGGAGGTCGTGTGTGCACGCTGGCAGTCAGGGAGGTCGTGTGTGCACGCTGGCAGTTAGGGAGGTCGTGTGTGCACACTGGCAGTCAGGGAGCTTGTGTGTGCACACTGGCAGTCAGGGAGCTCGTGTGTGCACACTGGCAGTCAGGGAGGTCGTGTGTGCACGCCGGCAGTCAGGGAGCTCGTGTGTGCACACTGGCAGTCAGGGAGGTCGTGTGTGCACGCTGGCAGTTAGGGAGGTCGTGTGTGCACACTGGCAGTCAGGGAGGTCGTGTGTGCACATTGGCAGTCAGGGAGGTCGTGTGTGCACACTGGCAGTCATTCAGGGAGCTCGTGTGTGCACGCTGGCAGTCAGTCAGGGAGGTCGTGTGTGCACACCGGCTGTCAGGGAGGTCGTGTGTGCACGCTGGCAGTCGGTCAGGGAGCTCGCGTGTGGCCCCGGCTCTCCCGGGCTCTTGGCTCTCCTCTCTGACAGAACCCGTGGCTGCTGTCACGCGGCAGGCCCATTCTCCAGCGCAGTGCTTTTATTTTTAACTGAACAGCTTTGCCGCAGGTGGGCCCCCGTGGTCCTCATGAGCTGCTTCCTGCTCCAGGGTCTGTGTTTGAGACGTGGACAGGTCTGCTTGGGCCACGAGGGCGATGTCCCCTCAGGGCAGATCCTCGTCCCGGGCTGAGCAACTGTGACTCTCCCCCGCGTCCCGCCGGGGCAGCCTAGGCCTGAGTCCGGCCTGTTCTGCTTTGGCTTTTCCTGTTTGGCCTTTTCAGGACATCCCACAGCAGGACTGCAGCAGGGAGGGGCTTCCGCAACCTGTGCCCACAGCTGCGAGGGCCGGGCGGGCGGGGGGAGGGGCGGGGAGAGGGGGGAGGGGGAGGCCACAGCAGCCATCTGTTCTCCCGGGGCCTGAGCTGCCAGGGCCGCCTGTGCACCCCTGGGCAGAGGGACGGGGCGGGTGCCGGTCCCAGAGCAGGGCCAGCCCCGCTCTCCAGGTGCAGGGTGTGGGCGGCAGCGGGAGCGCCTGCTCCTTCCGGTCCCGGTTGCTCTCTGCCTGTGTTCCTCAGTCGGAGACGTGTGTACAGCCGGCCGCTCAAGCATTATCTCCTAGTCTCAGGCCCTAAACATCCATATGGGACATTTGGAAACGGGAGCACGGTGTGTGGTGCTGTTTAAAGGCAGGCATGTCCCGCGTGGACGCTGTGGCACACAGCCCTAGGTGCCGCGCTGTATGGTCTGCATTTCAGGGGACATTAGGTCATTGTCCGTCATCATGGGCCCAACTGGATTCTTCTTTTTTTTCTGTCAGTCGTGGGGCTTGAACTGTGGGCCTGGGCGCTGTCCCTCAGCTCTTCAGCTCAAGGCGAGCTCTACCACTTGAGCCACAGCGCCACTTCCCATTTTCTGGTGGTTAATTGAAGAAAAGAGTCTCATGGATGTTCCTGCCTGGGCTGGCTTTGAACCGTGATCCTCAGATCTCAGTCTCCTGAGTAGCTAGGATGACAGGCGTAAGCCACCAGTGCCCGGCTCCAACTGGATTCTTTTTTTATTTTGGTCGGTCGTGGGGCTTGAACTCTGGGCCTGGGCACTGCTCTTCAGCTCAAGGCGCGTGCTCTACCACTTGAGCTACAGCGCCACTTCCGGTTTTCTGGTGGTTTATTGGAGATAGGAGTCTCATGGTCTCTCCTGCCTGGGCTGGCTTTGAACCGCGATCCTCAGATCTCAGCCTCCTGAGTAGCTAGGATTACAGGCGTGAGCCACCAGCGCCCGGCTTCCAACTGGATTCTTGAGATAAAGGGAAGAAAAATCTCCTCAGCTGTAATGATACCCACACCCATGCAGGGTTGGGGGAGTCGTGAGGATTCTGGAAAGCCTGTGTGCTGCTGGGTGGGGCTGCCCTGCCCTGACACTTCCCCCGCCAAGAACTCTCACAGCTCGGGCTGGAGGCTCGGGACGGAGGGGTTCCTGGTGAGACGCCATGGCCCAGGCCTGGCCCCCACCCCCACCCCGGTGACCTGGTCTGACTCGACTCAGCCACCTCTT